TGTACCAGCATTTTCACTTAGAAATCCTGATTCATCAATAAGTTTGCACTACAATTTTTTTCTAAATTTACCATAAAATTTGCCACCAGCTGAAACCACACATACGAAAAATTGCATACTTCCGGTGGCCCTGGATATGTCTAGCATTCAATATATGGCAAAGTGTGGGGTTAGTAAGATTTTATTTTTTTTATTTTTTTTTTGACAAAAATATATATATTTTTGTATTCAGCAAGGAATGCATTAAATTGATTGAAAGTGACAGTAAAGAGTTTTGATACAAAAATAAGTGCTGTTCTTTTGAACTTTATATTCATTAAAGAATCTTGGAAAAAATGTGTCACTGTTTCCACAAAAAATATTAAGCAGCACGACCATTTTCACCTAGGACAATAATAAGAAATGTAATGTTTCTTGAGCATCAGTTCAGCATATTAAAATGATTTCTGAAGGCTCAGAAATGTGACTGATGACTGGAGTAATTGCTGCTGAAAATTAAGCTTTGCCATCACATTAATAAGTTATACTGTATTTTTGACTAAATAAATGCAGCATTTGTAAGCATAAGAGACTTCTGTCAAAAACATGTTGGTATTACACTTTATTTTGCAGTGTCCTTGCTATGCATTCCATGTATTTACTATATAACAGTAAATTATGCATAATTAAAAAAAAACTAGCCCTAAACCAAACTCTAACCATATAATATTATACAGTACTTATTTGTGTAATTACACCGTAACAAGGCCACCTTAAAATAAAATGTTACCCAACTGTTTAATGAGTTTGGTTTTGTGAATAGCACATTTGATTTTACTTGAAGATCTTGCTGCGCATGCTCCACACATGAAACTGGGTGTGCGGAGAGTGCAAGTATGTATAGGAGACAGAGGTGTAGCCCTTTTCTGTATTATGTATGAGCATGATTTACTGTGCTCACTAGTAGTGAGCACACACTCCCTCATTTACAATTATTTGGATTCAATAATATTACAACAAAAGTAAATTAATGTTGTTGTAACGATCCACTGAGGCAAGTTGAAGTGAACCCAAGTGCAGTTTATTTAAGCCTTGAACAAATACAATCAGAAACAACCTTGGCTTGACTAGAAACATGTGATGACCATGACCATGACCATGACCATGAAAACAAACTCACCTACAGTGATTACACAGACAAAGCTAGACAATGGACAATGAAACATGAGGGCTATATATACAAAGAGACGAATGACAAACAAGGAACACCTGGAATAATCAAGACAATAAACCAATGGAAACACAGGAGACATGACTCAAAGCAATCAATCAGAACACATGAACAAGACAACCAATAGCAGGATCACATGAGGACAAGGGAAACACATGACAGGAACCATGACTATGAAAACATAAATAAATAAAAGACATGAAAACAATGAACATGAAACAAAACCAACATTACAGTTGTAAATCTGACATATGTTTTGTATGAGAATGTTTTCTGCGCACATAAATATGCAAATTATAAGCAAATGAGGCAAACTGACTGTGTGAATGTAGCCTGTCAGAGCAGTATATGGAAATGCATGGTCACAGCGATGCTGATTTTGCTATTTAAATCACATAGTTACATAGTCTGATGCTATGTGCACTGTTGCACAAACATGCACCATGACATCTGCCTATGCTGTTTAGTATAATTACAGATGGTAGGGGAACATTCACATTCACGTAAAAGCATCTAACTGATGTTTGTGATATCATAGGCACCGGTTGCAGATAAAGGCCATACTGTTGCAGAGCGTGATGTGTTTGTGCTCTGGGCTGGATACTGATATAATAAAGAGCTTTATAGGAGCGACAGTAAGCCACCCTGGTGCTAACACTCACACTCTCCCGCCTGTAGGATCATAGCTCACTGAGCAGCTATATCTCTGTGGCAATGAGCTTTTAAATCCAACACAACCCTCTTAGTCCTCTGAGTCTCCACTGGAACATGACCAACATTAACTCTTGAAGTAGAATGTGGGAAAGCCTATTTGTAGACATATGTACTGTATGTATGAGATCATAAACCATAAACAAAATGGAGCTTATAAAAAATATCAAGTAGATATAAATGTATAGATATAATAAAGTAAACATGTCATTAAAACATTTATATTTACATTTAAAAATTAAATCAAAAGAATTAATATTTTTAGTGGTTTGGCATACTCAACTAAACTGCTCATTAGTAATAGTATACTCCTGTAGATCCTTCTGTCAAGTCTCTTACTGTAAAGTATGAGATAATTTGTCCTTTTTATGACCAGAAAACATGTTCAGGTTGCAAAATGGCCTGTGTCACTACCCAAATATATATATATTTATATATTTGTAAATTAATAATTTATGATATTTGTAAACAAACAAACACACACACACACACACAGGTTTGTTTTTATGGTTTATGGGGACTCTCCATAGGCGTAATGGTTTTTATACTGTACAAACCGTATTTTCTATTGCCCTACACCAACCCTACCCCTAAACCTACCCCTCACAGGAAACTTTGTGCATTTTTAGATTTTCAAAAAAACTCATTCTGAATTATTTATAAGCCTTTTGAATTACGGGGACACCGAAAATATCCTCATAAATCACCTTCTCATTGTAATACCTATGTCATACCCATGTTATTATACAAATTTGTATCCTCATAAACCACATAAACATGCACACAC